GCTCTCTAGAACCGGCTTAACTTTATACAACCTAACCAGAATCCCGAGGCTGGCAGTTCTCTGCTGATAAGCAAAGCCCCAAGCGCTTTTCTTTCACAAAATATGTAAATAGTGGTAGGGGAAGAAAGCCCAGGAACCCTCACCCCTAGATTCCTTACTGATTCTGAGAGAGGAGAAGAGCAAGCCCTATGCAATTGTTATCCTCCCAAAGACAAAGACCTGGTAGGCAACTAGTGCCCATCTTTTTAGCTGAGTGGGTCAGAAGACCAACGTAGAATAGCTCGTGGGGCGGAAGGTGGAGTGTGAAGGGAGGGGGAATCTGTTTTACGTGGGGCTTCCCCAGATCCACCCAGAATGCCGCCGGCCTAGCCCTATGCGCTGGGAGGACGCAGCGGGCAGCCGCAGTGGCCTCTGCGTCATGGGGTGGTGGGGAGGAGAGGAGGCTCCCAGCCTGCAGACCTGGCTCGATCCTTGGCGCCGAATCCCCGCCCGCAACCACCTCCTCTCCCCCGCAGCTTGTCTGGGGGCTGCTGCACGGGCGGGCTGGGCACGTGGGAGCCTCCGTCACACCCTCACTCACACACACACACACACACACACACACACACACACACACACACACACACACACTCAAACATACATATAGGCGCGAGTGCGCGCGCGCACTCACACACACATACACACATAAACCAAAACACACACAGCAGGAACCGCGCACCAGCATCCCGTGCCATTTCCCTGGCAGACACAGGCGCTCACGAGTCTCTTGGTGCCAGCCTGCAGGACAGCGACTCCCAAAACCAAGCTTGTCCTTGGCAAGCTGTTTCAGCTCTCCAGACAGCTTCTCTGCAGCCTCTGGCCCCGTTACCTGGATCCGACCCTTTCTCGACCTAGGAAACAGTAAGAGGTGCAGGCTCCAGAAGCACCAGAGGTAATGTCACGCTCCGGTGCTGGAGCACCGCCGGGGGTAGGGTGGGGCGCTCTCTTAGACACCCTGGAGTCAGACGCCGGGAAGGGCAGCAGGATGCAGGGATGGAGCTCCAGAAAGATTCAGACTGGCTCCTGGGACGAAAGGAGGAAGGGCAAAGGGAAACGCGGAAGGGTGAAACTGGTTTCTGAGGATATCCCCCGGCTCTGCCTCCTGCACCTGTGCAAATTAGGGTTCGGGTGGTGGGGGTCCGAGGCGGCACTTGTTGGGAGAAACACGTGGGTCAAAACGTGCCGCCATCCTTCCTAACCTAAGTGGAAAATGCCTGGTGCATCCCAGGAGACAGGCTCCTTTCCAAATCGAACAGGGAGTTGATGGGTGTCGGGAAGTGGGGAGGGGGAGAGCGGGGGTTGACAGGGGAAGTCCGAGAGGAAAGTTGGTGTCAGAGCAGAGCTGTGCTCCCGAAGTAAATTGAAATCTAATCTTCCTAAGGGCGGGAGGTGAGGCGGGAGAGTAGCGAGCCTCCTTCCTGAGGGCTTGTGGATCATTTGCCACAGAATCACAGTCTATTAAGCACGATATTTCGTGAACCGGATTCGATTCTCTCGCGCTGGAGGCATCCTGTGATGGGCTGCCCGAAAACCAGCCTTTAGGCGAACACTCGGCACGTGGTTGCTGAAGAAAGCATAGCATCGCGTTTCTGTGCATCCTGGAATCGGGAAGGGTGACAGAGAGGGTCGTGGAGAGAATGGTGGCACAGGGATCTTAAGGAATGGCTGGGGCTGGAGAGGGACTGGGCATCCCTAAGCCTTCTACGTAGTCCACGCACTTGGTTGGTCTGTGTGTGACAGCGCAGAAAAATTTGAATATAGGAATGTTGTACACCCGAGCCTCGCTCTCTTAACTTGCTCACCAGCCTTAAGCAAAGAAATGAATATGAATCCCATAGGGTTACTGGGCTGGGGTAAGAGTGGGGTCGGAGTGGCCAGAGAGAGTCTGCTTTCAAGGGCTCCAACGGAGTTTGTTTGATTTTTGTTTTGTTTTGTTTTGTTTTGTTTCTGAGCTGAGAAGCGGCATTGAAAGTGCTCCTTAACATAGCTAATCTGGCCTCTCTCTTTTCCCTTTATCTTCCACCCTAGTGGAGAAAGGTTGGAGTAAGACTGGGCGGGGCCCAGAGGCCGGCGTGGTGACGTAGCAAGTGTTTGGGTGCTTATGCAAATAAGCCTGCAGCCATTGCCTCTGGTCCACCCTCCCTGTCTCTTCGCATCTTAAAGACATACCCATTCCTAGATCTGAGTTCTTCATTGCAGACCAGAGAATGATGTAGGGGAATAAAGGCTTTGCTTTAGGTGCTCTATTTGGGATTCTTTTGGTCTCTACTGTAAAACGTATCTTATGATTTCCAGTGCTTGGTCACTTTCTGGAAAGCCAAGATCAGAGAGCAGTTGCATCATGCATCAAACCCTAAATGTCTCACCCCCTCCCCCCTTAATTGCATCTTATTTAATACGAACCTGATTGCATCTTTCTCAACTTTCTTAGCCTGGAGTGGTTTAGGCAATTTATAAATACTTGGTGGAATGAGTGAGGTTTCTTGTTTATTCATCAACAATATTTATATTCCTCTCACATTAACTCAGACGATTTTGTATCATTCTAGGAAATGTAAAATGAAATTAACTGACCACTTTTCTCCAAGTGAAACTTTGAGTGCATTCTTTTTGTGTCGCTAGGAGACAAGAATGAACACGTTTTGAAAGGAAGTTAGTGTCTTGTGTTGATTGCTAAACGATATATTACTACACATTACCTAGATGGTTTAAGAATCATTGTAAAATTCCAATAACTATGACCCAAATTGTGACTTGTAATGGAATTTAAGTAGTATTTATACATGTTTCTGGAAGACAAGTTTTTTTTTAATCTAATTAACAATAAATAGGGAGTTTTTAAATTGAATGTTCTAGCCTTTAGGAGACAGGGAGAATGCCTTTCTATAAATTATCTAAACATCTAAAAATTATTTAAGATAGATATTACAAGTTGAGCTTTATGATTATATTCATACTTTATCCAGTTTTAGGATGTGCAGGTTAAAAAAAAGTCTCTCTGTCTTAAAAATGTACAAAATAGGAAATACTTTGGTGTTTCTTTAAACTCTGGAGTTATATGCAGCCAGTTTAAAACATGATTCCCTGAGAATGACAAAGCAGAAAGAGACCCCAGCGGTTATTGCAACCTTCCGGGTTTACTTTTCTTTTGCTTCTTCATATATCACTCAACTTTTTGTTGAAGATTATGTTAATTCTTTACCACGACATATGCACGACCGGATATAATAATACAGTATTTTGCAGACTTGATGGTGAAGTGATTTCTGGACAGATGGCATTATTAACAAAACTCCATAGGCATAGTGGAGTATCCAGTTTTCCATGGTCCGAATCTTTCAACTTAGTCTTGGTTTCTGAACAACTTTACTCTGCTGCTGGTGTACAGCAATGCTTGATGAACTTCTTATGCTACAGTGTCAGATGTGGTCAAACATTATCATTTTCTCTGAGAATTTCCAACCCTAAAGATAAGCATGCAGCAGCATAGTTTATAATAAACATTATTGCTTGATTCAGGAATGAGAGAAATGCTTTAGCTCTGTTGGAAAGGTTACTTAATATCTGTCGGGATTAATCCGCAAAGCTGTCCTCTGAGTCTGAATGTTGTCTCTGAGTAGAATGGCTTGTTATGGAAGCTTTTCCATGCATCAGACTGGAAAAGATCACAAAGATGACTCAGGGGATGGAAGCAGGCACAATCACTCTCAGACGTTGTGTGTGACCACAGAGACTGAGAGCTTTATAAAGAACAACTTGGTAATACTTATCAGAATTTAAGATGTAGTTTTGATCCATCCGTTTCACCATCAGGAACTTATTCTGTAGATTCATAAATGTAAGAGATGCAAAACTATTTACTAGGATTTTCTAATGTAAATGATCAGATGCAATTTATATGCATCAAATATAAACACAAAGGTATTGTATGGCGATTAAAATAAGTCTAGTATATTAAGATCAAAAGTGTGGACTTCTAACCTCAAAAGCAAGGGAAATGAAGACATAGAATTAGAGCGTTATATGATTGTAAAAGTAAAAAAGGTCAAATAAGAGCCCTTGGTAGAGTAGTACTCAGGCATTCATTAGCTTGACTTTATTGATGCCTGAGTACCATTCTACCAAGGGCTCTCATTTGACCTTTTCACATTTACAATCTTTTTTTTTTTTTTTGCAACATTTGGAAACAACAAAAGAAAAGGTACTTGATTATATTGAGTATAGAAGTCAAAAAGTATTAAACCTTTTTTACTATTGTTTTAAAATTCATAAGGAATTTATTTTCAATAATTTTCATTATTTGTTTTATTTTTTGAGATAATAAATGAAGCCTTTCCCCCTCCTCTTTTTTCTCCAAACCTTCCCATACAGACCTTTGCTCTCTTTAGAATTTGTGATCTTATTTTTTCAGTAACTTTTAATATGTATATATGTGTGTGTGTGTGTATATATATATATATATATATATATATATATATATATATATATATATATTTGTGTGTGTGTACATATATCAGTATATAAAATGTTACTTTCATGCATGTTTTCTGGGTTCATTCATGTAGCACGAGTTCTAACAGGTCTTAATAGTAAAAGTCGGAGTCAGATACAGGGGGAAATGCTAAGAGATTAGAAATATGAAGGAATAAGATCACAGCCATCTTACCTCTCAACTTCCCAGCTGAAAAGAGACTGAACTCCTGTCTCCTAACAGCAGCCATATCACTTCCTGTCTGTCTATACAGACCTCCAGACAGCTATAGTCAGCTAGTGGCTAGCTCTGCCCCCTGAACTTCAGGCAAGCTTATTTATACAAACAAGATGTCACCACAGGTTCACTATTTGATATCTAATAACCAATTGATGAGACCTCCCCTTAATAAAACTGTTCCTTTTGCACCACTCTCAGCATTCCTTAGCTGTCTTTAGGGTTTTTTTGTTTTGTTTTGTTTTTGTAGGTTTCAGAACCCCTTAGACTATTTTTCTCTCTTTGCAGCAAAGAATATTAAGGAAAACTACAATAAATAAAAATTCAAAGTTGTGGAACCAAGTTCCCATCTACAAAACACTCCCATACACAGGGCTCAAGGAACATTGAGGAAGAAGGGACAGAAATATTGTATGAGCCAGACAATCAGGAAGTTTGCTATGAGATTGTCTCCTAGCAATGTCAGAAGCTACACCCACAAAGTTTAACCTACATGGATGCTTAAACATGAATTAAATAAGGGCACAAGAGGAGATATGACAAAGTGGTTGGGAGATAGCCCATATGGCCTCAATATTTTTCAGAATAAAATTATATAAGAAGAAATTTAAAATATTATTTATTAACTATCTCCCTCATAGTTTTATTTACAGTAGATTTAGTTGAATAGCTAAATTTAGTTGGGTGCATACAGACATTAAAAACAACTAAACATTCAGATAAACAAAAGGCACTTTTTTTAAATCAGTGAATGGATGAAAGATTTTAACTTTAGTTATGAGATATTTACAGAATCACATGTAGTTGTTTTAAGGGATTACAGCCCTTGTTTATGGTTAAAATACATTTTAAACTTTCTTGCCAACTGTTAACCTCTTTAATAAGCTATACTATGAGGTCATTCTCTGTAGACAGAGACCGCTCATTCATTTCCTGACCATTCAGACCTAAAATAATCACACAGAAATTGTATTAACTAAAACACCGTTTGGCTTTTTCTTTCTTTTTTTTCGGAATTTTGATCAATAAAAGGGTTATTTTTATATTATTAAAAATTTCCACCTCCTCCCATTTCCCTCCCACTTCCCCCTTCCCCTCCCTCTCCAGTCCTAAGAGAAGTCAGGGCACCCTGCCCTGTGGGAAGTCCAAGGTCCTCCTTCCTCCATTCAGGTCTAGGAAGGTGT